ATCATATCAAAAAATGTCCTGTGAAAAAATCTCCACCTGGACAGAATTATAGTATTAAATAATGTCAAGGTTCATAGACACTTTTTCATATCTGAGGACATATTCTCATAGGAAATAGTGACAGTATTTACTATAAAATTATTTCATGGGGGACATTATTAAATCCTACACATCATTAAAACAAAGATGCGTACGATTCCAACACATGACCAAAACAAATGTCATGCAGACGATACCAAGAAATGATAAACATAAAGATGCATACGATACCAACACACGACCAAAACAAATGTCATGCAGACGATACCAAGAAATGATAAACATAAAGAATGCGTACGATACCAACACACGACCAAAACAAATGTCATGCAGATGATACCAAGAAATGATAAACATAAAGAATGCGTACGATACCAACACACGACCAAAACAAATGTCATGCAGACGATACCAAGAAATGATAAACATAAAAAATGCGTACGATACCAACACACGACCAAAACAAATGTCATGCAGACGATACCAAGAAATGATAAACATAAAGATGCATACGATACCAAAACACGACCAAAACAAATGCCATGCATACAATATCAAGAAATGATATAATCAAAGATGGATACGATACCAACACACGACCAAAACAAATGTCATGCATACGATACCAAGAAATGATAAAATCAAAGATACATACGATACCAACACACGACCAAAACAAATGTCATGCATACGATACCATGCAATTAAGAAATGATAAAAGCAAATATGTAGATGAATCGAGACTATGCAATGTATAACGACACATCACCAAACAAAGACCATGCAGAATGTGTAGAAATTATCAAAATCAAGGCAAGAAGATGTAGTCGATTTAGAAAGCGCATTAAACGTGATTTCTACAAAAAAAAACTTTCACTGGAATTTTCTATAGCCCATTTTAGTAAAAACTTTCATAGTCTATCATTATTTATGTCGGTTTTGTTTAACACGGACATAAATACTTTTAGAACACACAAAAAGAAGAGATGGATTTCGTTTTAGAGATGCCACAGTATTTATAGGCTAAGAAATCCTGTAAGATTAAGATAAGACAGGTCTTACTGTAATTATATGGTCAATATTTTAGAGGGAATATTTCATGATCCCATCATGTTTGAATTTCAAGCTTGATTGGTTTTATTACATATCGTGTTTAGACTTCTTGTGCAAATGATTAATAGATGATATTGAATATAATATTCTAATAATGTGCTGTTTTGACATAAATTTTGTCGTTCTACTATTCAATCATGACGAAACACGTGTTTGGCGTAATACCTTAAAAGCCTGGTATCTGTTTACCACCACTTTTGGTGGACGTTTCATCCTCGAGGGTATCACCAGCCAAGTAGTCCGCACATCATTAGTGTTGACATGAAATATCAATGATATTGTCATTTTCTGTCAGTAACTTGAAACACTACGGCTTTTCTACCTTTGTCATATATAGCCTTATTCGTATTTGGAGCTTTTATTTAATTATTGGTTTTCTAAATGCTCTCCAACTTCTTATTTGATTTGGCCTCCAACTGTTGAGTCTTATATAGACGAAACTTGCATCTGACGTAACAAATTATAGCCTGGTGTTTTTGATGATTTTCATAATGTAAATGGGTATAAGAATAAGAAGAATCTTCTTTCGGGGAAATGAGTTCTGATACTGTTCGGAATCGGGTGATAAAATTGGTTATGCTTTGGTGCTTAATCTGTTATTATTTTACGTTAGAATGTCCTCTGTCGGTTAGTTTATAGATATTTGCATCGAAAATAACCATTTGAACAATGCATTATATATCAGATAGAGGCTCAAATGAGCTCGACTTGCTCACTTAGATTCCTAGCTATATATGGAATATTATGATATGCGAGCTAAAAAGTAACACCGTTCATTTACCTTTTTGAGTTATGCCGCTTTTTTCAGGAATCAAATATTGTATAAAATTTGCTCAAGAGGACAGAGGTGCTTTTTCGAAATCTTTTGAAAAGACAGTATAACATTAAAAAACATTTTACAAACGGACAAAATTGAAGAAAACTATTTATTGCTTACATTTATATTTTGACGTCTTATGACCGACTGACACCAAATTGATGATACAGAAATACGGACATAAGATGCACGTAACGGAGAGAACCAGCAACACAACGAAAATGCAAGTTCAATGAATAGTATATGCACAGTTGTTATATATTTATAAGAACTGTTTGTAAACTATATATTAGTGCCGATACACTAACTGGATGACGAATGCAGAATTGTACACAATTGTAGTTTACAAAGGCAGTCATTTACTCGCATTGTGGAATAGCATGGTTCAGTCAGTTAATCGTCATTCAACCGAACTTATATCTGAAAAGGTATTCTGAATCGGACCGAATGAACTTGATTGACTTGATGTGTCAAAAAGAAATGTCCTTTGAACGATTTTATAATAAGATATATAAATTCAGCAAATCGGATTCATTATTTCAGGACTTTTAAGAGTAGAATGAACAACGTAAAAAAGAAAATGTGTGATTGTATTCTCGTAACAATGTACCAAAGACAAATATCATAAGATAAATATATCTAGAATTGTTTGATGTTCCTTTAAAAATATAATTCATTCCAAAGTTATTGAATGGTAAAAATCAGTGAAAATGCAATTTTGAATAAAATTTGTCGAGGGCAATTGTGACGGTCAGAGAAAAGATCGCAACATTTAAAAGTATGTGAACACATTCCCCGTTCCCATTCTCTATCCTACATATACATTCAAATATAATCAGAATGATGTTACAAAGTCAGTAACTCATTAACGGACATATATTTTCTTCGGCGATAATTTTGTTCGTCCTTTTCATTAAAAACTTGAGAACTCTTACCATGATGGTCATTAGGTACCCAAGCAGTCGTTTCTAGTTCCCTCTATTAAATCAAACTCCCATTTTGACACTTTTTCATTTATTATATTGCCACAGGGAGAAATCCGTTTGCGCCAAAAATGCGTCCTTTTGCGATACAACTCATTTACGCCAATGCTACGTTTATTTACACCACTAGTTTTCAAAAACATAGTATCATTTGCGCCAAACAAAAAGTATACTATTGCGCTAATTTAAAAATAATATTTGACTTCCCTCGTCCTCTGGTAGTTTACACTGGTGACGAAGTTAAAGTCAGTTTAAGTCATTTAATGGCACATTTTAAAACATTTTATCGTCAATTATATATTAATTATATAAAAATCAAATACAAAATACATTCATGGATGGATGTGATGAATAAAACAGTACAATGTAAGGCGTATGAAGTGCCACTGGTCTACAATTAGTGCGGTTGGTGGAGTTACAGCATATACGGATGATGGAAACAGCAAAGACTGATATTATTATTTTCCTTCAGTGAACACTTTTCATAATAAAGGTAGCTTACCTTATTTATGATTATTATGTATGATAAATATGTATACCGAGCTAAATAGGCGCAAATGAATTCCGTATAATGGCGAAATTGCTGCAAATGATACATCCTACAATTAACAATTGGCGCTAAAGGACTGCTGCCTTGCTATATTGCACAAATTAGTTTTACTCCTTTTCATTTTATAACGAACTAGACGGATAACCCTATATGCTATCAGTTATATAGATTACTCCTAAAATACGTTTTTTAATCATTTCAAATATGGTTTTGCTGAATTGCAAAATTTATGAATAAGATGTTATAAAAACACGCTTGACTAAGCCATCTCTTATATGAAATATATATTTAAAATGGATAACGAATCTCAAACTCGATTACAGTTATAATGTGTGGGGCCTCGGTGGTCGAGTGGTCTAAGTAGTTACTACTGTAATCACTAGCCAGTCAACACTGAGGTTGTGAGTTCGAACCCCGCTCGTGCGGGTGCACTCGACTCCAATCTTAATTGACTAGGATTATCAGTTTTCCTTACGAAGGTCGGTGGTTTTCTCCGGGCACTCCGGCTTCCTCCACCAACAAAAAGTGGCCGCCACGAAATAACCCAAAAGCGGTGCTTAAAAGTGGCGTTAAAACACCAAAAATCAAAATCAATCAGTTATCATGTGACGGACTCGAATCGGATTAACAGTTGCAATCCGTTACTTTTGAAAGAGAGGCTGGAGATACCTTCAACCTCACAAAGCGAAGACAAAATAACAACCCCATTGAAAAAAACGAGGGAAAGACAAACGACAGTCTACAAAACACAACATATAAAACTAAAGATTGAGCTTCGTGAATCTCACCAAAAACCGGTGGTGTTCTTAGAAAAATATAGAACCTTTTTTCAGTAACGGATATTTATGGTAAAATGTATTTCTAATTTGAAACTTTGTACTTACTTTTGGCAGATGAGCTACTGTACTTAATCAACAATACATACATGTTTTTGTTTGTTAGTTAATTGGTATGCTATAGTGAATCAGAGAAATTGTGACACAGTGTAGTAATAAATGCACCATCAAAAATAATGACAGATGCATTTAATTTTCGTCTGGGATGTGCGAAGGGATCTATAGTAAAAGGTAAAACGGAGTTTCTTTTTGTGATTTGGAAACAATGATCCCCGCAATGAACATTCGCTTACCGTTTATGGTATCACAACAATGACACCGAATCATCAAATCATACACATTATGGTTATCAGCATGAACTACAACAAGTTTACACGTAAATGTCAGACTGAAAGGTTCAAAGTCTATATGTGAACAAGAAGGTCAACAAAATTCAAATAAATACTTTTACTTACCATAATTGCTTTGATAATCGTTTCCAGTAAATTAAATCTTAAGCGAATTAAACAAATGGCGCTGCAAATATTTGTGTCGTTATATTTGATCTTAGTTGTCTTACTCTCTTAGTTTGACCCTTTTATCAACTGATAAAGAGATAAAGATCATAATGGCCTGTCACATACCTGATATAAGTGAATTATTGCAGACAGCTAAGGAAAAATTTAAGTTTAAATTCGGAAGCCTACCAAACAAAGCTTCATGTGCACCAGGGAGGGTAAACCTAATAGGGGAGCATACAGATTATAACGAGGGATATGTTCTGCCAATGGTAACTAACTTATCTTATAATACGACTTTTCAGATGTTTTCATTTTAAAACGTAAAACATATAAAAGTGTCCGAAATTTCTATGCTGTATACTAAATTCAGTTACTTTTTTTCGTTTTTTTTTTTCTTCAACTCAATTTAATTCAATATTTGTTAGAAAGAGTCGGGTTCAAAGGAAGAGAAAAGAAGATGCCAAAAGGGGGATACAAAAACCTGGGAACAGTATATCAATATATATGTTCCTGAAAAAAACATAAGTCGAAGAAAAATCAACCGTGAACTCCTTCGGTAAGAGAAAAAGACGAACAGACAAATAACAAACAGTCGGCAAAAAACTACACAGAAAAGTAAACATTGAGTAATACAAACCAGACCAACCGGGGAAACTCATGTGCTGTAGAATAGTCAGCAATTCTAATTGATTTAGAAAGATATAAATATGCCTATTAATCCTACACTAACCCTTGTTTACATTGTTTTAGGCACTACAAATGGTGACGTTGGCTGTTGGGAAGACGACTGATAGTGGTCTATGCAGGGTCCTAACTTTAGCGGATGTTGGGAAGGATAATTACGTAGAATTTTCTTTACCTACTGAAGATAATCCTCTAATTCCCAGAAAGCTACATTGGGCGAATTATGTGACCGGTGTGATAGCCCATTATTTTGGTAATAATAAAACAAAGTTGAAAGATTGTACTTTATATACAACACAAAAATGAGAGCGTAACAGAGCAGAATTTTTACTCCGGGAAAAAATGGTCCACCGAGGCGAAGGTCGACAATCTTTTCTCGAAGAAATAAGCTGCTCTATCGCCTTCCTCGAATATGTGTTATTTGATATATTATACTGAATGTTCTGTCGTTTAAAATCGTTGTCTTTTAACATGTTTAAATCATATTTCAAATTTTAAATCATTGTCTTTTAAATTCTTGAACTTAACCTTAATTAATATTTTTTATTGCGTTGCACTAGAAGCTGACATTAAAAAAAGTTGTTACCCGCTGAGAAATGTGTTAGAGAATACTGTCAACAAATCAAAAACTGGCATTGTTACAAAAGCATATAGTTTATGAAAAGTTTGTGCATTTCTTTAACATGATATGTAGAGATGACTATGTGGTAAAGCTCCCAATCTAATTAAAATATAGATCACTGATTTCGTTATGCTCATATGAGCACGACGAGCACGCGAGTACCGATCTGAGATATGAATTTTAATCAGATTGGTTAAGCTCGTATTTTCACATCCTAATCTGTTTGGTTCGTACAGCTCAGTCTTTAGTTGTCTATGTGTTTTGTAGACCCTTGTTTGTCTTTTTATGGTTTTTCTTTTTTTTTCTGCAGTAGTCTTGTCTGTTTTTCCTTTTATTTGATTTTTAAAATTGTTTCCTTGGTATCATGTCTCTTTTTATTGACCGCTCTTTTACTTTATCTTTTGTAAAGTGAGAACTAACAACATTTGTGGCTATATGCAGCCCTTTCCGGAAACAATTATATAAGAGTGTAAAGCTTCTTAATGGAGAGTCGTGTAATAAACAAATAATATAAAGCCAACCATTATCACTGTAGTCTTACTTTCGGTACTTATTTTATCTGATAAATATTACGACAATAAGGGTATGATTGTTTTATAATTGTTAAACATTTAGAATTGCTCTCAAAACTAATTTTTATTTTTATTTTTAATTTGTATCTAACTACATACAGGCCCGGTTGTTTCATTTGATGCAGTAATTATCTCGTCAGTACCTTTTGGTGGAGGGGTTTCCAGTTCTGCTTCCTTACAAGTGGCAATATACACTTTGCTTGACGAACTGAACAATGTGAAGGATAATAAAGTGTCGAAAGAAGACAAAGCACGGAGGTGTATGGAGGCAGAACACGAGTTTATAGGTCTTATGGATGGTATCATGGACCAGTTTATATCACTGACAGCGAAACAGGATCATGCCCTTTTACTTGATTGTAGGTAATAAAGTTCCTAAGTTATTCTGCTTGTGATAAGCAATTTGAAATTATCATTACGCAGCAATCAATATTTCAAACAAAATCAACAGAAAGAATTGTCGGTTGGTAAATCTATTTATGATTCACAAATAGAGAAATCATTTAACTATCGGATATTTTAATCTCTTGTCATTACCGTCAATATCAAGATATAGAAGTATTTAAAAAGTTCTAATGATTTTCTACCCCAGAAATAGATTACAATAGGTGTATTTGGCAAAATCTTTCGGAATTTTTGGCCCGCAATGCGCTTCAACTTCGTACTTTATTTGACATTTTAAACTTTTTTGATTCGATCGTCACTGACGATTCTTATATAGACAAAACGCGCGTCTGGCGTACAAACATCTTTGATTAATTTTTATTTAATCTATAAATGTTTAAAATATTTACTTGTCACAATTTTCTGAAGTTGCTATGAAAATTAAGTGTTGGTCTTCGGTTAGAAGCAGATAGTATCTCTCCGTTCCTCGTGACCATAAAGTTATTTTCATAGCATAACAATTAACTTTCAGATCATTAGAAAATAAGCATATACCTATGGTTGATGATTCCGTGGTTGTTTTATTGATAAATTCCAACGTGTCTCATGATCTAATACATACAGAATATCCAAAACGAACAAGACAATGTAAGGAAGTAGCAACAATCCTTGGTGTCAACAGCTTACGGGATTTGACATTGAAAACACTGGAAGGTACTAACTATAATCAACAAAGCACGTGCTTTATTATAACACATTTATTAATCATCGCATATCCATATAAAAATAAGGAGATGAGGTATGATTGCCAATGAGACAACTTTCCACCAAAGTTCAAATAAAGTGGATGTAAGCAATTATAGGCAACCGTACGGCCTTCAACAATGAGAAAAACCCATACCAGAATAGTATCAAAGTATGATGCTGTAATTTGTTTGGCTTAATTTAAGATGAATCTCAGATTTGAATTCTTTATTGTAACGTCATTGTTGGTGGAGTTTTGGTCGATTTAAGATAAATCCAGTTTTTAATTATCATATAAGCCCCTCAAAATGAATCAAACAAGATTTAGGGTATACACCAATGACACAGCAACCCAGCGACAAAAAAACCAAAGGACAACAACCGGGAGGACAACATACAGGTGTATATACTCGTACACAAAAATCCGCAACTAGCCGAAAAAGTTGTGAATGATTTTGAAATAGAATGTCAAAGATTGGACATCATTCCAAAAAATACACATTACATAAAATACACATACATAAAATACACATTACATAAAATGAAAACAAAAGACAACTACTCGCGAGGTTCCTGACTTGGGATAGGCACACAAACTAATGGCGGGTTATACTATCATTCTTTTTTTAAACTCTTAATTTGTTTCGCAAAATTGTTTTAAAAATATTTCCCTTTCGCATTAAAATCATACAGGTACTCTTATACCTTTGGTTGTTGTTAAATATAATTTTGTAGACACGTGTTGTGCCAATCAGCGAACACACTAATCAAATAAACAAATATTGTTTTTCCTTAAGACAGAAAGGAACTGTTAGAGAACGTGTTATACAAGCGAGCACATCATGTTGTAACGGAAATAGCACGAACAACTCAGGCAGCTGAGGCATTAGAGAACAACGACTTCGCAACATTTGGACGACTGATGGTAGACAGTCATATATCATTGAGGTACCAGATAACCATATCTAATATTGTTGGATGATACATGTATTTCATTATACTCAGTCCAGAGAAAAAGGCTTTACATACGTTTATTAAACACACCACTACATGGTTAGTCGCAAACAATTCAGTGCTTCAGTACACAATTAAGTTACTAACACAGACAGCATTCTATTTCATTCATTTTAACGTTTGTAGGACCGGAGTATGTGCCTATGAGTGTTTACTAGATGCAAATGATGAACATGAAGATAACAAATACAAATTTCTTTCGAGAATTCTCATATAATTTAATAATATGGAAAATGTGATGTTGCTTTTTGAGTAATATATAAGTTAATGAATATTAGTACAAACATTATGCAGGTTTTTTCTTCATGAGGCTGTAATATGATTATCGAAGATGGGTTTTTAAAAAACGAAAAATATGGAGTTTCTTGAGGAGTCGTGGCGTTTTTGGCTGAAAACATCCATGAATTTAAGTCTTTACAATTTGTCCTTGTCGGAGTTTGGCCTCACTTTTGGTCTTTTGTGTTTTGTTTTATCAGTTCTTTTACATTTGCACGAGGTTTTAGATGTTTAAATATTTTGGCCTCGAGCACCACTGAGGGGACATACGTTGTCGAAATGCACATCTGGTGCAGTAACATGCATTGGTGCCAATAATGTTATTAAGTTAAGGAATTGCACAGCTTATTTAATATAACCTGGAAATATCCTGGAATATCGCTTCGGATATGTGTTTCATTCCTGATGGCTTGTAGACAGAATAGAAGGTATGTTTGTTGACAGCATTTATTTTTTCAAGTACTAGTACCTAGCAACTTCATAACGCAGGGGGGAAGAACAATGGGTCTCAATACATTGAGATTGCGACTGTTGTTAATTTTCTGGCAGCATGTCACACATTTTACATTATTTATAAATATTTAACATCCTTATTTATAGTTTATTTAGAAAACATTAATCAGTTGCATTTCAAAAACTTTATTTTTCCGGAAGTCTCTCGAAACCTAATTTTTTTTTTAAATTGCATTGTAATCAATTACAATTTTTTTTTTATTATGACCAAAGAACCATCTGTTTTCAAAAGTGAAAAGGTGTCAAAGATCAAAATACTAATAATTGTAAAAATCTTCGTCATTTGATCTGTAAAGAGACTTCTTTAGTATCACATTTGCTTATTTTTTTATATTCTAAAGTCATTTTCAGTTCATTTGAAAAATCAGATAAAGAAAAAAAGAACGGTATCTACTTCATTGAATAACTGAATTAAAAGAAGTCACACTAAAAAAAATCGTTTATATAAAGTGAAATGTTCAGGCAGACAGTGATGGTTTCCGACATCACTATGAGTGATCATAAGTCACACATCCATGCACTAAGTTAATGTAAAAATAAGAAGATACGGTATGATTGACAACGACGCAACTATCCATCAGAGAGCAAATCTATTTCAACATATATTGATCCTGTATAGCAGCAGTTGTATACGCATGAACGAATTGATTATGACAAACAAACAATCGGATTAAAATACAAGATTAAAAAAAATGTAGTTTTTCGTTTTCAAAGTTAAAAATCATACACGGAGCTTTTTTAAATCTCAAAGAAATCATACCAACACAAATTGACGTCAATATATGTCAAAATATGTCATTTACCAAAAAAAAACTGATGCAAAAAAGTTCTGATACCCTGAAAAATAAAATAAGCAAATTGCTATGTGATATTTACAGAGATGATTATGAGGTATCCTGTGATGAGTTAGACGAGTTAGTAGAAGCTGCTTTAGAGATGGATGGTGTTTATGGTTCTCGGATGACGGGTGGGGGATTTGGTGGTTGTACTGTCACATTAGTGAAAAGATATAACGTTGAGTCAATTATTCATCATGTTGAGGTAATGTATGATTAAATAGAGATATAGGTTAAAACCATAACATAACAACAATATAACAACAACAAAAAACATGTACATAAGATATAACACTAAACAAGTGTCAACATAATACGACAAGCTCCTGCTCGCCCGGAGTATCTTTTTATTTATTGTACATTGTCGTCTTCAGACCAGCTGACATTATAAAATCACTGAACATTGTATATTTTGCCTTATATTGGAAGTTTTGGAATACAAACAACATTTACAAAAACTGAAGCAATCTACATGCATGATAAAAGATATTAAGAGTACTAACGGGTTCGAAATTAGAATCGTAACTTAGGTTGGCAGCATTAAAGATAAACTATCATATGAATATTTCATATATTTCAAATACTTACTTACATCAGCTGTTGTTTTTAAAAATGATATCAATTTCTTTTCAGGCAGAATACTCAAAGTGTGCTACTTTTTATGTTTGCAAACCTTCTGATGGTGCTAGAAGAATTACATTGTGAACTACTGATATTATTAAGCACAAAGCTTTAAATTATACATCAATAAATACTGTTAATGCAGTGTACCATCATATTTTGTTGTTTAACGTACTAAAAGTTTTGTTTTGAATGAAATAACATTTCACTTTGCTGAAATACACGCCAATGTTATCTGTACGCATTTCAAATCTTGATTTACCATAATAGACCTTTAATTACTCCGTATTAATCGCTATATTTTCAGTCCCTGATACCATGGAAGTATTATATTGACAATATACTTCCATGCTGATACGAAGTAACCCATAGCACCATTTTGAATTTTCTTTAATGTTTTGAAAACATACAGAACTAACAGTCAGATTATAATTATTTCACCTATTGAAAACTTACATAACTAACAGTCAGATTATTATACTCACTTTCGGTGAATAAATGACACATTTAATAGGCATGAGACGGACTACATAAGCATCGGACAGGCACATCTAGTTAAATCTTAGTACGAAAGAAGTATAACAAAAATACCGAACTCCAAGGTAAATTCAAAAAGGGGAAGTCCATACAAACTGACAAAATTAAACGTTATCAACCAACGGAACGAGTGAAAAACAACTGTCATATTCCTTGAGTTGGTACAGGCATCTCCCAAAGAAAATAGTGGGTAAAACCTGGTTTTATAGCTAGCTAAACCTCCCACTTGTAAGTGTTTATAGTTCCGTTATATTGACAAAATTGGGTGATCGACCCAAACAGATTTAATAGGTATAAATAGGTAAATGTGACAATATTTGGGATCAAGCAAGCAGCCAAAATTGTGTAAACATACATCACACCTGACTAAGAAATTCAAACAAACACACAACTAAATCGCCAACAAAAAAGTGTTTGTAGTTGTTTGTATATTAATGAAATTTGGACCTTGGAACATTAATCTCAGGTAAAATGTCGTTTCCGATGAAAAAAACATTAAATCAATATTTTTAAAAATAAGGTTTCCGAAATGCATTTATATGTAACATGTAAAAAAAGAGGCGGAGGATACCAAGTGGACATTCAAAACTCATAAGTCGAAGAGAAACTAACAACACCTATAGGCATAAAACGGAAGACGAAGAAAAGACAAACTAGTCTACCAAACACCATATAGAAAAACTTAATACTAAGCAACACGAACCACACCTAAAACGTGGGTGATTTCATGTGCTCTTGAAGGGTAAGTATATCCTACTCCTCTAGTTGCAGCCTTAGTGTTGCTCAAAGTAAGTACAGTTTGATGATGAATCTCAATCGCTGATGTCATATTATATTTATGGAGAAAAGGGTCGGATTGTGGTTACGACAATAGGAACATATCCGTGGTCATCTGTGGCACAGGTATTACATAACATTCAACCTGATTAAAATTCAGATCTATCGTAACGCGCTCACTCATGTGAACACTCCGAAATCAGATCGATAATTTGATTAGATTGCCATAACGTCCGTAAAACTTCCGAAAGGACGATTTCAACTTTAAGACCTCGAACAATAGCTTCCTTGTAATTAGCAACCCCCTATTAAGGAAATCATGATAGGAAACGCAAGTTCTGGAATATCGTATCGTATAACTAGGAGATACATAATCCATATACAGACTCTGTTTGAATGTTGCTACAAAGAAATGGAAAGTTCACAAATGGGAAGCTGTAATCACAAATTTCGAATATCCTAAATATTTCAAATCTTTACCCTTTGACCGAAATTTTATGTTGTGATACACACTTTGTATTTGAACAGCTATCCTTTAAGAAGTGGAAGACATACTTCGTTCTAAGTATTTAAATAAAGACAACAGTAGTTTTACGATGTTCAAAACTCATAAATCAATCAAAAAGACATATGAGAGTAACCAACAAAAATTGAAAAAAATCACATGAACTCCAAAAATTCGCGAGACCAGGTGCGTCGACAGATTAAGCGTCTCCTGCTATTCATGCATCACCCGCCATGCTATTCACACTCTGTCAAAATGTCACAAAAGGTCAAATTACAGATAACTATACTGGTATCTAAAGATCTAAGACCACGAAAACATGTCGCTAATGTTGAGACACCGACACATAGTTTCGGTCAAACAATTCGTGAATTTGTCCGTATGCAGAGTCGATTTCAGTCGATCGTCATCATAACTCTGTTGTAGCAGTTTTAATGTAAGGAACACATCCCTATTTATGAAGTCCGTATAAAAATAAAACCACTAATTCATAGCCCCATTGCTTTCGATATTAAATTCTGCAATTTCAAGCATTCATAGCTATTTTGTTTTAACTTCAAATAAAGTGAAAGTCATTTCATTTCAAAACTATAACTTTTCCTGCATTGTGCTAAAAAAATCGACATATCTTTAATTGCATATTAATTAGAGCGCACTGGTTCCAGGAATGTTGGCAATACACAACTGAGTGTGAAAGGAATTGATCCGAGGAAGTTGGAACCTGAGTTTCATTATAATTTCTTCATTTATGAACGTGGAATTTGAAATAAGAAGATGTTACAAATCATGTTAGTATCAAAGCACTGACTACTGAGCTGATGATACCCTCTGGGACTAACAGTCCACCATGAGCGACGGTATCGACCCAGTGCTATTAAATGAACTTGCATAATTTATAAATTTTGTTAGTCCGAACTTTTTTATGATTTATCTTAACCAGGAACGGTCAAACTTAAACATGTGAAAGCCATAAATACGCTTCAACTTTAGAATAAATGACATCACCATTGTGTTGCTCAGTCTTTAGTTTGCTATGTTGTCTTTTTTCTTATTTTGCCAAGACTTTGTCAGTTTATTTTCGACTTATGAGTTTGAATGTCCTTTTGGTATCTTTTGCCTATCTTTTAATTTAAGATACGATGAAATATTAAATGTCTTTTATTTATATATTAAAATCGTCATTAAAAACGTATAATGAAAACTTATCTAAACTTCATCGAGTACGCTGAAGACATATTAAACTGTTATCTGTCGAGTATACTGTTTAATATCCTTCCAATAGAACTTAGATATTCGACGTTCAGGTGTGTTTGTGAAAGGAGTAATATCAAGGTTTATCCATTATTATAGCATTCTTGTGTATTTGTTGGTGAGGATACAGTGTACTTGCTATTCATTACATTGTACTGGAGAGGGTCTTGTGTATTCACAAACCATTTTGTTAAAATTGTCATGTTTGAACTTGAAATGCTAGGATTATTTTCAGTTAAAAATTAGAAATATATTAAGTTTGAATTTTTGAATAAATGTGTTATGAATTATATTAACTGTCATTATGTTTTGATATCAATTGCCCTTACTTGAAGCGTTACTTAAAGGTAACATATTGTATTATTCTTGCCTTTAAGCACGGCTAATAAGATGCTTTAATTATTTATAAGGAAAACCTACCATATTTTATTGATAGAACTTGAAAATACATTATGTAAATTACACTTTATATGACATCAGAAGACCACGGATATGTTCCAATTGTAATCACAATCCCGTCCTCTTTTCCGCGATTGTAGCATCACCGAATCGGACTTGATACTGGATTTGTATTTGCATGAACAACACGACGGGTGCCACATGTGGAGCCAGAAATACTTATACCCTTACGGAATACGAGTTCACTCTCTTTTTTGTGGGTTGGGTTTATATCGCCCAAACTTAATGTGCATTGTGGACTTATTCATCGTTTTTTGTTTTTTGTCATAGCGTAGTCCGTTTTCTTCGACTTATGAGTTTTGTCTGTCCCCTTGGCATCGTCCGCCTCTTTTCTTCATTTAGTGCGTCCAAATCACTTTTGTGGCTTTACCACCATCATGAACGCTCAAATCCAAACATTTATAAGCTAAGGATGTATAGACATCTGAATACATGCGGAGCTATGTGACTAAAAGGGAAATAAAAAGAATATTCAAATTCGTCTTAGGTCAACATTCCTTGATGGATAAAGATAGTGTCTTAATTTATCAACGGATTATTAAAGAAACGGTATGTAATAATTCAATAGGCAAGCGTGTAAAGAATTGATATAGATCTATACTTTCTTTTGATATTACAAACAATTACCCACAAGTTACAAATATGAACACCAAATCACAGCATCCATTTTATTTTTCAAAGTGTTCAACCTTTACAAAAACGGTTTTGAGCAAACATTAATATGATGACAACATAGTATGACAATAATAAATAAGAAAGCATTTAAATGAAGTTTAATTAAACAAGCACTATGCATTTTTATTAACATTGATTCATCACACAAGTGCAAATACTGACAGGTAATATAGCTATATTCAGAAATAAATATACTAAGTATCACAGATTGATATTCTATATATATGTACAAAGCATCTGATGCTGAATTATTTCTCTTGTCTAGAAAATATACTTTAGCTTTAATGGTGCAAGAACCATCATCATATAGATCGGCAAAATACAAATGATAGAAAGAAAGAAAGAAATAACCATATTATGCAAAAGAAACAGAAAAAAAATAACAATAATAGACACATATACATAACAAAATTGCTCATCAACAAATTCCAATGCATACATTATCACAGTATCTATGTTAGCAGTAATACTGATTCAGGACCGACATAAACTTTACTTAAATGTGTATTTCAAATACTGATTTTTGTTCATAAATAACGTGCAAGATTTTCATTTGTACTTCTTTTGATTAAATGTCTAATCTGTCCTTAAACTGAGACAATGCGTGGTGACATTGGGAAGGTTTTACGCATTCCAAGACATTTTTCTCTGTCGATGAAAATACTGTTGTTTTTAATGGCTAAATCTTGTTCTAAAGCTGCTTTCGTACGGAGCAGTTCTTGGAGGGAGTTCTCAGCCATTCTAAGTTTCATCTGGAGAGATTCTACTGTTTCTGTGATCTCTTGTACTTCTGATACAAGCCTGAAAAATACGTAAGATGATGGTTAGTTCACGTGCACGATCATTTAAAAAACAAATACATAGTGCTATAAAAACTAAATTTAAAAGGTTCTATATATATTCTACAAGGGTCATCTTAATCAAGTGTAATGTTAATGAATGGGTTTTCATTTAAAGTATGAAATTTTGTGATGCTCTATTTACTGAGTTAAATGTTACTTTAAATGTTTTATTACTATTGTATATACCTGTGTTGTACTGGATCTCTACATAATTCAACATTAGGTCTGTGTGTTCTGGTTTCCAGACGAGAATGAGCCACCTGCATGGGGTGTTCCTTATCCTGGATGGCTTTCTTTATTAATTCAATGTTCTTCTCCATGTCGAAAATCTCTTGAAGAACCTGAACAAAAAATAATAAGTATGTATATCGATGGATAGTTTAGAGTTAAAATTGCCATAAGTAACAAATGTTTTTTCGCTATTATATGAACATGAAAATCCTTTCAAAATGAAGTCCGAGTTCAAATTAAAAAGAAAGAATGATCAGGATTAATTAGTGAACTACAGGATTCGTTAGTGAACTAATATACTAAACACGGAGATTCAGGCTATACGTCAATGAAACAAAAAGCAAACAAAACAAATTTCAGCATATTTCAAATGGTAAACGGAGTGTGCATTTTTTTAAGCAAATTTTCCAGATGATTACAAAAAATAATCAATAACATTTGTAATAACTCTATGTTTCTATAGGATTACAAAAGCAAAAAATACCACTATGCTCGTTTGATTTATGTTTCCAAGCATCAATATCTAAATATATGATAATACTAAAATAATCATGAAACAATAAATGATCCTGGAAGTAAGACCAACCTTGGACAGATGTGTCTGGAGTCTGTTCCTTGCATCAGTTGATTCCTGGCATCTCTTGGTGAGATTAACATTGACATTATTCCATTCCTGCCACATTTCATTTGCACATGAGTTGAGCACACTTTCGATCTCGTTTCTCATTTGACGGGAGGCAGCTCTCTCACTCTGTGATCTTTGAATGTTGTCATTGCTGAACTTAGCCCATGACTCTGGTACTGATACACTAAAAATGACATACAACTTTATTACCTAAATACATTTTTATTAATTAGTCTTTGTGCTACTTCTGAATCACTTCCGAGGAAATGTAGATTTCTAAACATTGACCAAAAAAACGAACAAATAAAGAAAGTAAATTAAAACATTACTTTGTTTTAGTACGCCGCTTTACATGTATTCCTCGTGTGGAGCAAACTATGACTACCAGCACACCCTTTGTTGACAGTTGTTTAGGGCACTGTAATGTCTTGCTGGTTTTGTATTTGTTATATTTGTTTCGATACTGTCTTGTTTAACATTTTTATTTATATTGTCCCTATATTCGATTTAAATTGTCTTAAGATTTACAATGATTTTAATCTTCACTGTTAATCCTCTTTTTTTATTCTTAAAATATCTTATAAGTTACATACGTGTGGTCTACTCTTGCAATTCCATTGTGGAATGATAATCCCCTGGAATTGTTCCTCATCTGATGACAGGAATTGTCAAGGTTCAATGCATTGAATTTATCACCTTCATCTTTTTCTAATTCGTGTTGTGCAGCACGATTAAGACTGCAAACAAACAAGATAACAAGTAAGTGGAAATGAACAGTTACTAGAACAGATAACAAAGAAAGAATATGGGTAAACAAGGCTTTAAGAACCTATGATTATGTAGTGAACATAGAATAACAAATGAAAATCAGGAGTTGTGGTGTATCTACTAATGCGACTGTGGACCACCAAAGATAGCATCGAAAAAAAGTCAACATAATCTAAAAGTCACAGTAAACAAAGGTTTTCTTTGAATCGAATTTGTAATGTGTACGTTTTGAGAGATATGCGATTACAAGTGAGGTATCAATTTTGCATGAATCGCGGACATGATTCTTGCTTAAAAATTGTACGTCGTACGCATTGACCAAAACTGCCGGTTCAATATTCTCATATTTACAGGAAGTATGATGTAGAATAACATCTTAATACAAGCGTTATGATTAAGATTTACTTTTTGTTCACCATGAAACGACGGTAGCACGTATCTCAAAATGGATACCTGTTTTCATACTATATGAAAGTTTATAACAACACCGCATGGCGTATGTTTATCCTATAGAAAAACACAAATTACATAGAATGCAAACCTACTGTAGGTATAAAAGTAACTATATATTTGTTTTCGACGCATGGACAATCTTAAAAACATGATGATATACATGTGAATTGACAATGATATATACATAAGAAGAAAAACCGATGTTTTAATATTACCAAGGAAAACGTTATGTAATTTATACTAGAATAGAACAGACGATAACAACTTTCAGTTAATTGTGAATAACACTTAAAAATACAAAAATGACAACTTAATATTTTATCAGTTAGCTTATAACTTACCCAAGTTGAACGTTAGCACGTTCTACGGTGTTTCTCATCTTGTCTTGGCATCTTTTTATGATATCTACTTCCTATAAAAAGAAACCAAATATTTGTGTGTTTCATATTTGTATGGCTATTATGTTTGTTTATATATATATATATGTGAGTGTGAATGTGGATATTAAACCATTTAAAATATCGATGAACAGAGATCTCCAGGCAGTATTCGCAAAAAACAAAACAGTTTTATACAAAAATATTAGTATAAAATGGAACAGTGTTCTTTTAGGGGAAACGTCTTCAGAGAAAACAGATGAAATGTATATCGATCAAAATCTGTTTTAACTTTTGTGTAAGGCAAGTCACGAATGTGCAGCATTTTTTCACTCTCTCAGTTTGACTTATGAAACAAAACTGCATACCAATTAAAAGTATTTATAACAAGTATTACTACCCACACTTTCTAATATGACGTCTTTAATTTATTCCATTTTATGACTTTTTAGCCAAAATAACTTAGATCTCGTATTTTATAACTTAAAATCTGTTTATCATAATGATAAAATCTGTATTTTTGTATGAAGAAGACGTCAAAAGAATCTATAAAAATATACTGTTAAACAAAACAGCACAGCCCTCTGCAAATACTGGGTACTCTAAAAATAATTTGTTATCTTATGGTTTACATAGTCTGGTATAATTTACCTGGAACCAACATATAATTATGTATCAGTCCCATGATTTACACAGTTTAAATATTTGATGGAGTCTTGAGGTTTTTCAGTACAAACAATCTTTTAGTGACAAAAATACATCCTTGAAGATATAAGTGTGCATGTAGGCTACAATGAAGAAACGTCCTTTTGACAGGTTAAAACTGGGTATTTTTTTCTTCTGTTCATATTCATATCTTTTAGTTTAAACTTATTGTCTGTTTTTTTCCAAAATGATATGATCAGTATGTGTTTTTGGTTTGGCTACAAAATGTAAATAGCAAAAAGTGTCGTCTGAATATTATGTTAGTAAAAAAGGCTAATTTCCCTTGTCACCAAGGTTATTTAAAAAAAAGTGTTTATCTAAACTATAAAATTTACAGTGTCACAGCTTCGTGTGTGACCTTTAAGATTGAAACAATATTTTATCGAATACGAATGAAAAACCTGGAACAACATTTGTAACCACTTTTTTGGATATATAAAAAAAATTGGCCGGGAAATCTTTTAGCATCTTTATAATTTAGATTTAAAATAAGCAATTTAAGTAAGTCCATTTACTTTCCAATTAGACTCTTCATTTGATTTCAACAAATTCGGGGAAGTTCGCAATACTTTTGGAATTTATTAGAATGATAGAATTAAAGGGTCAGCTCAGACTGATATATGCCATATGTTCGTTACTATGACTCTTTTATAAATGCACTTCGGTAATTAAAAATGCTTTATATGGATTAAAAGGTTTAAACTGGATAATGAAAGGAAAGCAAATATCGGTTTAAATAAATACGTTTAATTTCATAAATACCATTCTTTAAATGTCTGTGGTTTAAACAGGATTAATACCAAAAATAAATGAAATACTAGTATGTAATACAATTACATACAGATGTAAGAAAAACGTTCTATCTACTAAAGTAAATGCTCAGTACATTGGTTTGAATTATTGTATATTTGCCTCAAGTATATAATTGATAGAAACAAATGTCTTACCCGAATCAATTCTTTCTCAGGGTTATCATGGACAAGGTCAATTCCTTGACGTTTCTCTCTGTGGTACAGACACTCTTGAGAAATATGAAGAGGATTTTCAGTCTCCTGTAGTGCTTTCTCCAAAATTCTCTTTGCTTCATTCAGGGCTCCAATTTCTGTCATCATGTTATCTGTTTCATGATTAACCTCCGTTTTCCAGAATGAAATATCACCGATTCTCTCTCCAAGACGTTTTCCAACGTCGCTTTGTGTTCTCTTTGTTTTGTCGTCCGTTTCTCTGCATAGACGAACTGTATCAAATCGTAGACGTTCAGCAGCACTTCTTGTTTTATCCGATACTAAATAATTACTTTGATTTGAATTAGCCCAATCGTTAGGAGAAAATCGTGTATACATAGCGTTTCTAGCCGCAGCAAACACTGAAGGAACTTTAACATTGTCCAATTCAGAAAGTTGATTCCTAGCAGAAAAAGGTTCTGGCATACTTCTGACTAAAGCTGAACTAGGATTAACACGTGCGGTTTGGTAGTATGTACTTGGCCTCCACGGAAGTGTGGTTAAAGATCTCCTCAGAGGTGAAGGGGCAGGATAAGTGTCATTTGCCTTATATGAAGCTTGCATTGTACTTATACTAGGCAAAAATGTTTGTGTATTGCTACCACCTAGCCTTGGCCCGGTCATATAAGTGGCAGTCTGTGTGTGACCCAAGTATTCCATCTTGGGAGGTCTAAATGTAGGTACGGCTTCTGAAAATATAAACAAATGTAGAAATTAATTGAAATTTAACACATTATGAAATTTATATTGACATGAAATAAATTGGGAGAAATATCCTTTCATGACAAAGCTAAAACTTGCAAATAACTGTTTCTGCATATAGACATTTAAAAAGTTAGTTTCAAGTCTTGTTGCGATCAAATATTTTCGACCATTTAGACTGATTTGTTCGTGAATCTTATTTCTCTTTTTAGTCTTAACAACCGTTTGTCATTAATTGGAGTGATAGATATATTCTCAATTGAAGTAAAATGGAAGAGACTTTACTCAATACGACACATCAGAAATGTGAATTCTGTATATGTAGCTGGGGGTACTTGCTGTTTTATTATGAAGATATGCCTGTGATGCATAAATGAATTCAATAGGAATGAAATACCTATAACGTGTTTTTGGATGCATAAAGTGTGACTGTGTGGCTGAGGTTTCATTTAGACTTGATTGTCGCGGTGTATGATAGTAGAACATATATTTAACGAAATACACTTAGAGACTAGGACCTATGCAGCGGTATTTATACCATCATCACCGATTAGCGTATAGTACATGCATTGTGTTTGAACAATATGCAATAAACTAAAAAAAAAAATCGAAGCATACGTGTTTGCCCAATAAACGTGATTCTATTATAGCACCAACTGCAATTATACAAAAAAAAAATCATCAAAAAACGTGGAACTACAATCCCCCTTTTAAGGCCTTTAATGATCGGTCATTTACTATTATAATGTAAAGGTTTCTTCAGTGAAACCATTCTTGATAGAATGTATCCCCTATTTTAGTTATTTTTAATTTACACAGCATATATGAACTATTTACTTTAAAATTCTGCCAGTGTTAAAAAGTATCATAGAAAAAATATGATTAAACGGTAAAAAAAAAAAGGTGCAAATAATTATAGATATATATATATATAATTATTTGCACCATTTTTATATACCACATGTTGACATATAGTTTTTGTTAATAAATAAACTTTAAGTGAATAAAATATAATTCATATACACTATCTTTAAATTATTCAATTAATAAATACCTGATGTGAATCGAACCAGACACCAGCGACTGTGTGATATTAAAATTGATAAATTTTAATAATTGTTAATCCTCGTTCAATTTAAATGGCCACATACAAATTGAAATAGTCAATGTTTACTAGGCTATCGCTGCTTAGAGACACCAAGCAACGAGGAAGGAAAGTGCTCTGGTGCACTATCGATCGAAATACGGTTGACTAGCCCGACAAGGGTCAAATAATAATGTCATATAAAATCTATATGTGTTAATAACTAAATAATGTGCTGTAATCAGATCACGCTTATTTAAAATATAATGTTACATGGCTACGTTTACATGTAATTTCATATCTATATTTTTTATCAACTGTTAATTTTAAATGGTTTGGTTTTAATTGCTTAACATCCTATTATAACTTTAATTATTCCTTAAACAATAACCATCATAAGGCTGTACAAAACACGCTGTAACGACAGGGGTTATCTAATAGCCCCTGGTTGTTTAATTAAATGCATATGATAAAAAAATCTCTAATCCTGCAGTTAGCAATCTATTATTACTGGAGATTCGAACTTTGTAGAAAATCTGTTTTAGACGTGCAGCTATAAATTTTAGCCCACAATCCATTTAAAATCAATATAACTACCGATCACTTCAGAAACTTGTTTCATTCTTTTTTTTTATTACAAAAGATTAATATCTCAGTTTTCTAATGTACATTTTGTAATTGCAAGGAATTATAAAAATAAAAAGATTGTATATTTAGAAATTTGCAATTCCTTGGATATATATTGTGATATGTATCAAAGATCTATTCATTAGAAAAGAAATTACAAATTATTGAGATATCTTTTTTTAATTTTTTAATATAGAAATTTCCGACGCATTTATGATACTTTGAAATAAAAACTTTCCAGGTGCACGTGTTTTCCTTGAGGATATCAAAGATATCAAAGAAACATTCCGGCATTTTTATTTCACAGATGCTAAATAAGCACGCTGCGTTGCTTCAAGTCTTGAGAGACAAAGATCTTTTTTAGATTCATAGGAACTCGGCATATTCAAGTGTACCGGTGTAATAAAATGTTATATAAAAATATATATATTAAAAAAAGAGTTACAGTATCATCAAAATGTATGTTACTGCATACATGTAAATATTTAGTTTTAAAAACTAGATAAAAAAGTTTAATTATACATATTTTTGGTTTTAGGAATTGTTTCTAAAATCAGGTATGAGTAAAATTAATACATGATTCTACATTCTTTTTTACAATGCATATCAAAATATAGAGTGATTTGGATAAAAAATATTGAAAAAAAACCTGTTGGATTGAACTGGGAACAGTATATCTAATCAATATATATGTTCCTGGATTGAAATATCCTTACCATTTGCAGAGTAAAGTTTGGCACACCGACAAGCCTCACAAGGAAAAGAGGCAGTAAGCAGGTCCCCTGGCATTCTTCAAAGTAAATGTTTTCTTTGAAAAAATGCGCTTTCTAACTTATTTTTTAGCGACTTCCCGAAATGCACCTTTGTGGGCGTGTCACAAATCTAAGGGAGACAATTTGTAAACAATATGGCTGACGTTCCTGGCAATGCACCACAACGTGAGTGATATTAATGTTCTTTTTTCCAATAAAGTAATCAGTGGAGTGTGATTGACAATTTAAATACATTTTGTAACTATCTGAAGATTTTTCAATAACTTATTTCACATTTTCTTACAGTTTTCCTAATATAATATCGTCCGTCTTACCTGTAACTGCGTCTCGGTATAAAATGATCACTGATTACAAAATTATTTGTCCTTAGAAACACCTTTCATACACCGTTAAACATATTGATTTCTACGTTGTCATTACCTGTTAAGTTAATTAATACCTTGATTGCGTAATCTAGAGAGTATGTGATCAATTAATCTTTTTTCTTAGACGAACCATGAAAAAACATGTTTCTTATTTTTTTTTATATATTTTGTAAATGTCAGTTGGTATCATTCCTGTATTTGAATTTACACCAATAAATTTATTTGAATTTGAATATTTGAATTTATATATTTATTAGGTATATCAGAGATGAGAGATTTGTGATTTTATATGTCTCTGGATATATTAACAATATACATTTTATATTCAAATACTTATTTGGTAAACCACAATGACGAAAATGAATAGAGTTCTGATAACATTTTTTCCTATGAATTTGTGTTACATTTATTCATGAACTTACAATGCTCTCGAGATTTTATTTGATTATAACAGATATTCTAAACTTTTAGAAATGACCATGGTCTTCTTGTTATTCCATAGTTGGTAAGCATGGGATAGCTGCTTCAGTTCAAAGTTAGCCAGAAATTGAAAAAAAAGTTATCTACTAGTACAATGTATATCATATACTGTATATGATTTATCAACATTGTTTGCTTCTTACTGTCAAGTGGAAGATATCATTGAATAAATAAGTTATAAAATCGTTAGATTTGTTAAGCCACAACAAAGAGTTTATCTTAGCAGAGAGCATGACACTTTCCAACATTCACAGAATTGTAGTTCTCAGTGTTTATACATTCTAATACATGTTATGTATTTATTCTCTGAAGAAGAAATTTAAAATGCCCATTCACATGATTCAAGACCAGTAATTAATGAAAGTTTCATAATTTATGGATAAAATTTAAAGGTTAGTGTAGGTCCCTCACCATCTAAATGTGTATGAATGTAGTGCCCAATTGTATGTTTTTTTTGTCAGATTCCCTTACTGTTATGACAGTGATCACCCACTGTATGTCTGTTAATGAAGACTTAGCCTCAAGACTTGTAACCATTAATTTCAAGTTTATGTTTAAAAATAATTGAAAATATTAATGGAATACATGCTACTCCTATTTCAATGCCTTTTGAGCAGTCTACATTCTTTTGTATAAAAACCCTATTGAAACATGTTTTCAGATTGTCCTGGAACAAAGAGTGAAGAAGCTGGTAAAGTTGATGCATGTTCAGGTTGTCCAAACCAGTCCATTTGTGCCAGCAGCTTACCAAAGGGACCAGATAAAGGTAGTAGTTTTGATTAAATAAAATAATATATGTATTGATTGTATGTGTGAACTGTTGAGACGATAAATGAGTTCTTTAAAAAAATTATGGGTTAAACATACTGTCTTGTTTTTAAATTTATATCGATTTCAGACCCTATTCAAAGTAACATTGTACATAAATATCTACACATATATTGTTCTCGCCATGATATTGCAATTGTGTTGAAGGGTTAGAAAACAACAAAAAATATCTATATTTAAAAGTCATTTTCCAAAGGGAATTTATTTTCCAAATTATTGTAATTAGATAAAACATATAGATTTATAAACAAAAATATGCACTTAATGTCTCTGGTGACATTAAGAAACAAAAAATAGATCAATCAATATACACATGAATTAACATACAGCAGAACTTTCAAAGATACTGTAAAAGCAAATTTGAATAATGGTTTTAAAGTACATGTACATTAAAACCACATGGATTTTTCAGACACCTAGTAAGGGTTAACATGGTTAAGTATGTGGCCCATTAAATGTGTATAGATGCAAAAATAGTTATTTTCTCTCCAAATCACACGGAAATTTTCTCAGTCAAATTTATCTTTTGGTGTACCATTATAGTTAGTTTATTTTTATATGAAATTACATAAAACTATTGTTGTATGTAGTCATGTAACAAGTATACAAATACGAAGATGTGATATAATTGCCAATGAGACAACTCTCCACCAGAAACCAAATGACATAGAAGGTAACAGCTATAGGTCACCATACGGTCTTCAACAATGAGCAAAACCCATACAGCATAGTCAGCTATAAAAGGCCCGAAATGACAAATGTAAAAGTTAAAACAATTCAAACGAGAAAACTAACAGCCTGATTTATGTGCAAAGTAATGAACGAAAAACAAATATATGATATACAGCAGCGAAAGACATCCACTGAATTACAGGCTCCTAACTTGGAACAGGCACATACAGAATGTGGCGGGGTTAAACTAGTTTGAAGGCGCCAATCCTTCCCTAACCTGGGACAGTGTTGTAACAGTACAACATAAGAACAAACTATAAAAATCAGTTGAAAAGGGCTTAATTTTGGTTAGGTAGATGTCAAGATGATCAATTCACATGATTATAAACATACACTTAGATGTTGTACGCTTAACATGCTTAAGCATCATAATTTATAGAATCACAATTTTTATTAGAACTTAGTCCTTTCTTCAGGTTAACTCTATATAAGCCTTTCAACAGTTGATAGCAATGATAGATATGATGTTCAGGCTAATGAGACTGCAACCTGAAGACCCAGGCATACCAATGGAAGAAATTTTATTTTTTTTACTGTCCAATTTACATGCAGCACTAGTAAATAGTCTAAACTGTTATTTTTTGTTATGTTTCTTGTGGATTTTGATTAATGACTTAAAAAAGAGCATTTAAATGCTTCTTGCATCATGTACATGTAGTTTTAAAAATTTGTTTACAAAAGTAGTGAAATTTTCTTTTTAATACTTTTAATCAACATTGGTCTGGCATTTATTATTTCATTGTGTGTAAATTTCATTATGCTATATTTAGATGTGGGGGAAATTAAGAAAAGACTATCATCTGTGAAACATAAAATCATAGTTTTATCTGGAAAAGGAGGTGTGGGGAAAAGTACATTTACAGCTCATCTGGCACATGGACTAGCTGCAGGGAATGAAAAACAGGTAAGTGGAGTGAAGGTTAGAAATACAGTGGATGTCTTATATTTATCTAAGCTGTAGGGAATTATAGGTGTCAGGTACCCACTACACTACCCTGATGCTGTACTGTGTACATGCTGTAGTAGTTCTCTTTAATCTCATCAGAATAGGATTGCCCAAAGGTTTTATAACAATTTAAAATTTTGTTCTACATACAATGTTTGTGAAACAAAATTATAATTGTAAAATACCCCATCGCAAGGATGTTTTTAAGAATTTTAAAACATATATTTTTTTTTGTTGCTTTTTTTGATGGGTTGTACCCTGAAGTAGAGGTAAAAAAGCTCAGTCAAGGCATATGGCTTCAGATACATGTAGTACAGCATTGTATTTTGCATGAACAAAT